GCTATGTTCATTGTCCGCATCGGGCTTTGAAGCTCGGTATGACTGACTCCTCTACCGATAGGCTGAGTTGATAAGGGGGGATACTAGCCGCTATCTTTGTCAGAAAGCTCGAGATAGTTCAGTGGCTTGGACTTACCGCAAGTTTCATGTTTCATGTTTCATGTTTTGGACCTAACCTCAGCTTCTCGACTGTTCTTGCTTTAGTTTGGGCAAACTGGCAGCATCTCATTTTTCGTAATTTCTTCACATGACAGGGCGCCGAAAGGTTGTCATAGGTGGACAATTAGCACTACGTTTGACAGGAAAATCAAAAATCAGCAAACATCAGAGGCCATATTGTGGAAATTTATTTGGTGGAAGCCAGAATTAGTTCACACTCGACAGTCTCAGTGTATTGTTGCAGTGGTCTGGCTACCCAATAAGTTAGTTTACCAGGAGTGTGTGGCAAAGAAATTAAAATAATTACGCTAGGTAGGGTATACAGAAATAAAGAGATCAGACGGAACAGACTCACTAACAATTGTTCTCTTTAAAATAGTTCGTCATTGGCGCAGATCAGCGAATAAACGATAATCCAATTATGTTGGTCCAGAGGTCTTCTTCTGAACAGTTCCCACATATAATAGATTCCGAAGATGTCTGAAATGTTTTAGTACCAGAGTTGGTACATGAGACTCGCGAATGACCGCTGCAAGCGCGAGCGAAATCAGAAGAGAGAGTCAAAGCAAGTGACCACGCTTGTATTCTGTGAAATTGTACAAGTGTGCGTTTTTTTGTAGTTTTTCGTATTGAAACAAAATTCGATTATGCAATTGATGAAATACGTAGTATTATAATGGAAGTAAAATAAAGTTGAAAAACGCCACATTGTCAGCCACCCATACTCAACATGTTGAATGTATGGTTATGTTTCACGGATTCACGAGTCCATACACATGTTCACACTCTGCTCAAGCTTTGTCGGTCCGGACCGCTCTTGTCGTTTGGCTGCTTTCGTTCATCTGAAAATCACAGGTGAAAAAATGGAGCAGCGATGCCCTTTAGGTTTCCAACGCTGGTCAGTAGGCCTGTTGGCGCTGGGGCCCTCAAAAAAGCATCCAGAAGTGATTTCAACTTGGTTGCGGATGCAGTGTAAAGGATTGCGTTCCTCTGACGTCCTGATTAGACAGATTCCCTGGAGTACTCAAGAACCGGCCTGACGTAGACTCCATGGAATATTTGCAAATCCGTGCCAGTAATATTGGGAAATTTTCTCCGAATCATCCGCAAAATAGCGGCTGCATTATGAGCTTGTACGTGTTCCAGTAAGGATGTACTTAAATAGTGTCAGGTGCGGGGTATTTCGTCTCGTAATTTCTCGCGGTAAGTCCCAAGATGAATGCTGGGTTTCCTCCAAACGATATGTGGACACATGTTTCATCATTCAGAGGAACGAGCCAGTTCAGCGACCACTGCATTGTGTTTGAGATCAATTTGCAGGAACTTAAACTTCAAGATTTCAGGTCACAGGCAAGATGACGTCGACTTCCAGGCCCATTCGGAAGGTTACTGACGTAGATTGGATAGAGTGGCTCTAAGGCGGAGCCTCGAGGAAATAAAAAATAGGGACTGGTGCAGAAGAGTAGATTGATCCGAATTTGATTTGAGACGTTCTCCTTGAAAGAAAAATCTTAACCCAGCATTCAATATCCCCTTGAGACCGACGAAACTTCAATTTGTCGGATATTGGAACGTGTAGAAAAACCAAAAAATATGGCATCAAATGAGAGCTTCGTCGTTGGTTTGTGTTAAGTAGTCCAAGAGTGTGAACATGTTCGTCACGCATGACTGGTTTGGGGGTAGCGTGAAGCACTTCCTGATGAATCCGTCAGAGTGTGTTGCACACGGTTTTTCATCAGACTGCCGAGGAGCGCACTGGGTCTACTGGTGTGAGAATTTTTCAGGGCGAAACCGGTATGCTCCACTCACTCGAATTCAGAATATTCATAAAGGAGCAATGGTGATGCGTCTATAACTCCTCGTTTGGACGTGTCCCTAGTGTCATTCATTTGGCAGCGCTTTGAAATACAAGCAAAGAAAAGCTGTTATTTTTCCAGAAAATGCATAGGAGGCCTAAGGATAGTCTGCAAAGCTCATGGCTTACATTGACGAGCAAAAGTTTTTCCACGTTCGTTTTATTTCAGGTTGCACTACACTAGTTTCAATTCGTCAGCCAGACATGACACATGTCTGTTCATGGGGGTGATTCCCTACATGCAAAATAAAGGGCATGTTTCTTCCGTCAATACCTGCATTCACAGCTAACACCTAATAATATTTTACCTTGCACCCGTCGTTAGTTGGAGTTGGTAGCAGTGATCCTCTGGCTGGTGAACCACACTCTTACCCTTCAGTCAAACTATAGCCCTTCCCAATTATCTCAATCATTCTTTATCTGTCTGCTGTCCCTCTTCACATTAATCCAAACTTCGCACGACGTAGGCCCTCTGATAGGGCTCTGCAATAAGGCTAAAAACTATCTTCGTTTCCTGCCCCACTCACCCTGCGATTGCATCTACCAACTGGTGCAACGGCTAGCCTCCTTTCTCGTTACTATATCGGCCAACTGCCCACCTCGAAATTACGCGACCACTCTCGCCCTGGCCTTACGCCCACTGACTGACAGATACCCAGTGCAAAGTACGAGGCACTACTTTCAGCACAAATACTGACCTTTCGCACCGCTGCCTAAGTGTACCGAATACTCACAAAGCACAGGCACACAAATAGTAGTTTGTTTTGACTCACGGCATACTAACAAGCTTAGACGGTCCCTGGGTCCTGGATCAATAAAAAATTTACCCTAGTTTTGGCTCACCTTAAGTTTATTGCAACGCTCCTTTAGATTTTTTCTATCAAGTAACTCCGTGTCATATGTTACCTCACCAGAATCTAGTGGCTTCATCTATCCTCCTCTTACTAAGATTTAAACTCCACCAGGAGCTGCTCTAAACGCCCCCATCCGGTCCTTATCCAAACTGCCTGCGTCCCGTTTTACATTTACGTGTCTCCACTTGAATCGAAATTTCCCGCGATTGTACGTCGGCTTAACTCTGTGTTGCCCCATTGGCTAACACACGCCCCCGCACCCATAGTAATGCGCATCCCCTGTCCGATCACGGCAACCTTGACGTCCGTTACGGAGCTACCCGGAAACCAACGTACTTCAGTGCAACGAGAGCAGGGAACTGCCGTACCCAGTCTGATGGAACGTTCACAGCTATTCCCCAGTGCTCTCGGCGGTGTTCCCTTGCTGCAACAACAAACAGATTGTTTAACTGGCGCCAACCACCTATGGGACAAGTTTGTTCCACGCTAAACCATTCAGTCTATTTAACCATCTCTGTATTCCGCTGCAAAATGAGGTTGCATTGTCCACAAATTCAGCGATTTTATTTATACTGCTCATTTAGCCCTATGCAGTAGCAATACCACTCCGTCGCAAGGAACCTTTACACCCAGCAGCACTACTGTTGAGTTAACTTAGGTTAATTTTGCACCATAATCCTGCCTGCCATTTAATTCTAGTGCAGATCTCTTCGTCTCACGATCCGCACTCATTTCCGAAAGTCGATTCATGCACAAGCCACACTTTATGAAGAGATTGGCTGGACCTTGTCACGTGACGAATGTCCAATGGTGGTAGTGGTATAAAAGATGGATCCGCAAGATGGCGTACGCATCTCTGCAACAGCAATACCGGCGGTCCGTGCTACTTCCGGTGTCGATCTTGCTGAGGCGTTCAACGAGATAGGTGGTATGAGGCCATTTCCCACCCTTGGTGTTTTCCAGGCCGAATTGTCGAGCTTCCGGCGTTAAACTGGAACATGTGGCGTAATTCGGAGCAGTATATCAAGAGAACGGCATTTGACGAAACGGCGTCTGGAAATACCGGCTTATCACGACTTTTACCGGGTGAAGCATGCATGCATTTTCAATAAGCAGGGGAGCCGTCCCAAACCTAAGTAAGTAGCCGATAAATACCGTATTATTGCTTATGCTTAGGCAAGCAGTCTTTGGATGCCCCGCGTCCATTAATCTGGTGTGTAATTTGGAAACCTGTGGAATGCGTTGCTGCTGGTGTTGGGCTCGCCTCGGTCGTATTATTGTGCTTAGGCAAGCAGTCTTTGGATGCCCCGCGTCCATTAATCTGGTGTGTAATTTGGAAACCTGTGGAATGCGTTGCTGCCTGCTTTTTTACTAGACCCTTGTTATATAATACCGTATATCAGCGAAACCAGCCCCTGGTCGCTAGCCTACTAAGTACAAATCTATCTACTCCCTAATCCATGTAATCGCTTGTCATCATCCTAGTTGCATCAGACGCCAAGTCTTTGTTTCTATGTATATAAATGCATATTATCCCATTTCATATCCCCTCAAACTCACAGTGTTTTGCAAATCTCCTCCCATCCCCTCACCTTCCCAAGCCTTAAACTTCGGAAGTGCCCGCTTTGGACGATTTGGTTAGCTGATCTCCACTCCACCTGGCCTATGATCTGCAACTCCGGGATCACCAAACGGACCAAGAAAACCTGCAGCCCCATGTCGGCTTCGTTCGAGCTTGTTTCCTCGACCAGGCTGAAAT